GAAACTGAGGAGGAGGGGGGACGGGTCCTGGGGGAACGACACTACAATCAAGGGCTATGCGGTTCTCTCTCTGTCCCTCCACTGCTGCAATTTTCAAAGGAGTTTGCCTCAGGCAGTTTTAAATGATGGTGTCTCAATTCTGTAATCATCTTTCAAGAGCTTTTTCTTAAAGGGTATTTTAGGTAAACCTAGTCCGTCAAATACATTTATGGACTCAGCAATCACAGAGCCAATATGACTGTGTATCCACCATATCGCAGAATTTAGCAACAGAAGATGCTTCCCCAGACTCTCATTTTCAGCCCTCAACAGGCTAGGTGTGCTCCCTTGTAATTAAGGAACCCACTGACCCTTGGCCAGTGGTCTCCTGCTTCAAGACAGTCTCTCAGGACATACTCTGCCCTACCTACTGTGGCTCTCAAGAGAGAGCTTTCCTCCACCACCAGAGCTCTAGATCACAATGCCAGCAATTACTGGAGAGGTTCAAGCTGGCCTGGACCAACAGCTCGGTGGAAACCATCAGGGTGGCTAAGTCTGCACTTCAGTGACCTTGCACAGAGACTCAGAGTAGTGCATTGGGTGGGGGAGCAGCAAAGGGGAGAGCTGTGGTGTGCTGAAAGAGCCACACGTGAAGTCACAGTGCAGAGTCACAGAGACCCAATAACCACTGATACTCTCTGCCCCAAAACCTTCTGTTCAGCCCATTCATACCACTTCCAAAACAGCATGTCTTTCACTCTGTCTCCGTTTCACTGATGCTCAGAACTTTTCATCCATTTAGCTCTCCCCAAATCACTCCAACACTGCCTTCTGAGCCTATGAAGTACCCACTTGCCATATCCATGACTGTTCCTACAGATTCTGCCCTCTCTTACCCTCATGCTCAGCCACTGCAGCTGTCCTTGCAGCTCATGGCCTTTGGAATCCACCAGCACTTGGTGTGCTCTGTAGAAATAGCAGCTCACCAGGGAAGCAACTGGCAAAATTGATCAGGAATGACAGAGCCAACAATAACTCTCACTGTGCTCTATTCTCAGGTCTTTGGAGCAATATCATCATTGGTGTATATTTCCATGCAGCTCAAGCAGTGTTGGGTATTTTATGGCTGTGAATTACAGACCTCTTTCCTGATAGATATCACTACCCAGAAGGATTGGGGACCATGGCATCTGCCCACTTCCCCTCTGTTGTTCAAAGTCTGGACTCTCATCCTGTTCAAATGCAAAGGAGCTGCTGGCACATGCCAGAAAGGTAAGTCCTTCTAGAGGTTTGACATTGCTTAGAGAGGTCTAATCATCAGCTCTGCTTCCTTGAGGAGGCTTCCCAGCAGGCAGGAAGGGGTTTTGCCTTGAGGGCACAGATCTAGTGACTGTCTCCTGGCAGCTTTCCTCACCTGCAGGTCAGGTTCCAGTTGTCTATGCAGCATAGTTAGGCTTTCATTTCAATTAGCTGTCTCATTCACACACACTATCTGCTTTAAAATAACAAGCTGTTGTTCCTGCAGACAGAAAATACACATCATATCCCAGTCTTCCAAGAAAAGCCCTTTTCTAGGAGCTGTTCATCCCAAGAGTAAGAGAGAAAGCAGAAAGGGACTTCTGATGGTTGGGCATCAGATGTGGGAACACCTGGGAGAGGGAGAATAACCTTAGCTAATAAGTTCCCATAAAGTGCTGAGGAGACAAATCCAAGGGCAAAGTACTAAGGAGAAAGACATCAAGGGGAATACAACACAGCAGTGCAGAACTGGTGGACAAGAAAGGAACAACAAAGAAACTTCTAGCCATAGGACAAATCAGATTGCTGAGGTGGGGGAGGAATGTTAGCATTTCTTGCCTTGACAGGAAACAGCCCTATCTAGCTCTGTGCCAGAAAGAGACACAGGAGCAGAGTAAAGCCCTCTATGCCCTGCTGGAGAAAGGAGCAAAGGGAGGATAAAGCCCTTCAACTTCAGCTTGGTTGTCCCATCTTCCCTCCCACCTCATGACAAAGGATAGTCTGCACGTGGCAGAAGGTCTTAGCTGCACCAGAAAAGGAAGCAGTGTGCTACAGACAGCACCTTTTAAATTCCACAGAGGGTCAAACATCTCCCATCTCAAGCAGTTTCCCTGCTATACAGAGCTCAGTCACTGCTGCTCATTTTCCCTGTTGACATGGACAGAAAATTGAGCAATTACCCTCAAACTCCTCTCTCTCAGATTGCACAGATTGCTACATACAAAGCATTAAGCCCCCAATTGCCCCTGGCCGAAAGTGACTTAACTAGGCCTGTCCTTTAGGAATTAAACACTTTTGTGTTGCTTGTGAAGGTTTATTATTCCTCAAGTGTGATGCATTAAATCCTGCTAAAGCAGGTTTGTCACCATGCAGAGGACCTGGTCCCCCATGCCAAGGTCCAGTGGGCACACACCCACGAACAGAGGCATTATCCATTGCTGTGCCTGAGTTCTCACGAGTACCAGCATGTGCTCAGGAGGGTTGGCACTAAGATTGCAGTGGCTGCTCTAGGAAATCAACCTAGCCATCAACTAGATAATCCAGAGCTACTTTTGGAGAGACACTGCACTTTTTCAAAACTGTCTTCCACCTTCTGGATTTCCCTATGCAACCATAACGAATGGCTGAAACTGCAGATCATTCCATGCATGTCCCTGTCTGGTCCACCCACTTACCACCTCCCATACAGTTTCACTCATTCCACACAGCCTGAGAAGTGTCCATCCTTCTCCCCCAAACTCCCACAGAGTTAAGGAATCAGATGCTGTTTCATACACAGGCCAGAAGCAGTGAAAGAATTCTACTTTTATTTCTGAAACTACAAGGTCTGTCAAGCCCAGAAGTCTCCACTTGGCTGTACAAACTTCCCTCCACCTTCCAACTACCAAACTGGGTTCTCTACAGCCCCTATACTTTTTTAACACGTTCTCAAATGGACTCCAAACTCGGAGCCTCTGGTTGTTAGTGATGTACAAACGATCACAACTGAGCACATTTCAAATTCACAAGAACACCTTTTTAAGGGCATATAGTTTTGTCCTTCATTCTTCTAATGAAAAGGTTGGATGGGGGACAAACAATGTTAATGGAATGGTACAGCTCAGCTTTTTAACAGGTTAAAGGAAGGCGATCCAAATGTATTGGTTGACAGCAGCAATCATTACGCAACCGCGCCTGTTCATATTAAGGTGTACAAGCTAAGACATTATGCAGCACAAAATAACCGTGACCCATCCTTGGGGATCCATACACCAAGGTCTTGATTTTTGTTTGTTTAGAATCTGAGCTCTACTGTTCCAGTTAAGGACACAAACTCAAGTGCAGTTCTATGCAAAGGGGAGGCTGATACAGCTCAATTTACTGCACAGCCACAGCCACTGCATGCTACTCCCTGCCTTCTACACTAGGCAGTTATTTGTATCTCTCTTCGTATTCAAAAAAGTGATTTTATTCTGGAGTTTGTTTATATGTCACTCTTCTTCACTCCAATTGCTGAGCCCACATGGAAAATTCATCTCAAAGAACAGTTTGCCTAATCTCCTTGTCAGAATAGGAACACAACTATGCAATGCACCATCCATTTTAGAGATTTTTCTATATACAAATTAGATCCACAACCCAGCGTATTCGTACCAGAAGCTGCCTGGGTAGGAACCATACTATATCTTTCTTCTAATGCATACATTTAATCCAAGGCCAAATGCCAGCTTGCAAACAATCCAAATTCAGCTGCTAACCACAGGTTAGACACAAATAAATAAGTTAAGTCTGTTAGGATTCAACATGTCTTCATACCACATGCTGCATCAATTCTATTCTATATTTATTACCCAAGGTCTTGGAGTGCTGAAAGTCACATGCTACAAACAAACGTGTGGCAAGCATTTTTATGCCTGGCTAGCAAAGATAGTCATACTGCAAGTACATGACCAAGGTTCAACAAAAAGGACAGCATGTATGCAAACAGAGCTGTTCAGAAGAGACTACCAGCCTCAGTGACATTCGCTGAAATTTAAGAAGCCCAAGGAACATCCCAGGGGGAAAATTTAGTCTGTTCTGAAGATGCCAATGCTATAAAGGTGCCACTTCTGGCAGTCATATGTTGCAATGCTTAATCTGTCTGGAAGACCCAAATAAGTCTTCATTTAATCTCATTAACCATACTGATCCTTTGTCTGATCCTTTGTGACTCTAGATAATTCTTCTGACGCTTGGTGATATTTTACAGATGTAACTTTTTATACACTGTAGGAAATTCTTAGTCCTTGAAAACTGAGGTACCTCCTAGAGGCTTTAATGAATTTCTATGCTCCCCACAGCTGTCTAGTGCTTGTCTTGAAATTCATAGTGGATTTTTGCTGAGATTTCTCTTGACTCATCCAGTCCTAGAAGAGCAAGTAATATACACTATAAAGAAAACTAGTGCTAAGTCAGGAGTCCAGTAGGTTTCATAGCAGCCTGTAAAGGGATGAGATGGGATTACCCACCAGTGTTTATGTTTAGTTTGTGATCTATGATCTTGGATTAGGGCAAGCAGATTTTTTAAATTAAGAATTCCATCACAACAGAAACCCCAGTCAACAAGGATATTGCTACAATAGCAGAGCCTACTACCACCTAAACCAGAGGAGAGCAGAGACTTCTTTCACCATTCTTTATCTTTTATTGTGCTTTTAGCTCTCATTTTGCCCAGTCCACTATTCTCCATGGAGGTAATTACAGAGAAAAGTGCATCCTTGCTACTTTCCTGCTTTCCAAGGGTCCTCTATAATTCTGTGTTCATGAAGAGCCAGAGTTAGACTACAACTTCATTTCCCCATTCTTCCTCTCCATCTCCTTTACCCTTTCTCCTTCATTCATCTGGGGAAATCTAAGCAGCTCCTACATTTGTTTACCCCCAGAGTGGTTAATTTCCTTGCAATTTCTTACAAGATGCCCGGGCTCACTTTACTGGAGAGCCCCTAGACACGCATGAAGGCACTTCTTGCGGTCAAGTACCTTACCTCCTCCATCATCTGATGCCTCCAGGCTCTGCTGTCTGAGACGATGGCTGCAGCAAAGCACAAGAAAGAATTTCAATTACAAGCCCAGAAAAGCATCTTCTTGTGCCCCCTTCCTCCCCACAACCTTCAAAGGAGAAGAGTTTCCAAGTATGCTGTCAATGAGAGAGTTTCCAAGTATGCTTAACCCATATGGAAGACTGAACATCCATACCCTTCAATGCTGGGCTCAGCAGAAATCTCAGCTTAAGCAAGATGTACCTAAGACAAACCCCTAGGCTGAAGACAGTAGGGCCTGGGCTGGGTCTGGGAGGAAAGCAGTGGCTTTCTCATTTTCCTTCTTTCTATTTTATGGAAGTGACAGAGCCATCATCTACTCTATATCCAGGGAACTATAGAATGACCAGCCCTGCCCCATCCCAGGACACATGATATGAATTCCTGACAGGCTCTGCATCCTTCCCAACTTTCAGATCTTGGTGTCCTGGTCAGATGATCAGATCAGATGTAAAAGTTGTGGAAGAAGTCTCAGCAACAATGGGAACTTACTCTTCTACTTCTTCTGCATGCTTTCTTCCTGACCTGCAAGACAAGGATGGCTTATGTTTAGAAAAGGACAGAGAAAATGAAAAACTTCACCTTTCCCCATATGATTGTTATTGTGCAAAACAGTTCCTGCATGAAGTCTGATGTAACACATCACACCTTAAAGAGTTCTGAGTGACTATTAAGCCAGTGTATCAAAAAGTCCCTGAGCGTGACAGACTGAAACAAAACCACTTGAGTCCCAAAAGATAGCCATGCCTAGATATGGCAATATCCCCTGGTTCTTTAGTTTCTCAGATACTTTTTTATCCCCTTTGCCATGAGCTGCAGGTAAAGTTGGCCATACCTGAGTAGAGAGGTTGGCACATTAAGGAGTGAAGAAGGTGCTACTTTGTCTACCTACTCCTGAGAGATCAACAGTTTCTTCCTCCCCATGGTTGTGCATAAAGACTTTCTCATTGCTTTTCACGTTAGGAGTCCCACCTGAGCTGGTCAAGCTCAGGTCATGCAGTCATGACAAAAAAATCAGGGTTGATCAGGCTGAGTTAATAGGAGTTCATAATAATAACATGGCAGGGAGGCGCTGGCAAATGGCAGCTCCCTTGCTCTCCACCCCAGCAAGCCCAGAAGTAATTCAGTCCCGATTAGGGACGCTTGTTCAATATTCAAAATGTAAAACATGGAGATTGCTGAACCAGCACTTTGAAAAGTTAATTAAATGCCAGGTTTCTTTTTAGCAGATACTCCATCACTCGCTGATTGCTTTGGCCATTCTGCAGAGTGAAGTTTCACGTCTATGTGTTGGGAATAAATATTCTCCCGTCCTCTGAAGTCAGGGTGTCATGACAAAGAATACAAGAGGCTCTCCCTTATCACATGCACTGTCCCAGAATGCACCAAGATGTGAGAAAAGTTGCTTCACTGCCTTGCATTGCTCTTTTCAAAGCACATCGTGACATGGCACAGGCCTCTCCTCATCTGCTTTCTGTTCTAGCAAGTCACAGTCTTCATCTAGCTCTCCTGTGAATAATCTACTCTTCTAAGAGCAAGGAGCAGGGCAGAGAGAATGTCTAGCCATACAGAGAAGAGGTACAGGAGAAGAAAGCCCTTTGTCTCTACTGCTCTATCTGGAGCTTGGAGTCTGTGAGAAGCTAAAGATGACACTGAATCAGTGATGTGAGCCCAGGAACATTGACTGCTATAATCAGAACTGCAGCTGTGTGGTGACATCTGCACCTGTGCTTTAAGCTATACCTGCACCCTCTGTTCAAAGGGAAAAATGGAACATAACTGGGGAAAGAGCTCTTCCAGTGAGGATGAACTGTCCAGCTCCATCCTTCTCCCCAGTGGTAGTACAAAGCACTTTTTGTGAACATCCTGATGCTATGGAGAAAGAAATAGATGGCTTCAGAGAGCCCTCCACAAGCACCCAGTGGCATTTAGTCTCTGAGAAGACAGAGGTAGAAAGATGATGCAAGATTTCTCCTATTTTATTCCTCCTTTATGCCTTCACAGAACCAGTTCCCACATAGCCTTGCCCTTTCCAAGCTGAAACATCCCAAATGATGGCATTGCACAGCCATGCACAGATTTCCTGGGAGTTCAATTTAACATCTTCTTGGCATGATCCCGTTACTCTTGATGATTGTCCAACCCCAAGTAACACTCTCTTCCTCAGTACTCACATTCTTTACATCTTTGCTCCTGTCTCCAGGCAGGAATGAAACACTCCACATGTTCATACTTCCCAGGAGAAAAGGTCACTACTACTATCCCTGTAAGCAATTTCTGTTTCTTCTTCCTAAGCTCCCTGTCATGACTGATATCCAGGTGGCCCACAGGGAAGGCAGTCATGTTAGTCTTAGAGGCAAAGAAACTGCTTTGCTTATGTTGTGAGACTTAGGCTTTCTCAGCTTTTCTGTGTTGTTAGGAAAGGACTTATTCAGGACAATAAGCAGATACCTCATTATGAAACAGCTGCACTATATATTCGAAAAAACAGTAATCTGGGGAACAAATTCATCATTAGGGATGGGGGGAATAGCCCCCTGGCCCCTTTAATACCAGAGCCCAGGTGTTAGAACTCCCTCATCAAAGAAGACCATTCCTTCCTCTTCCCAGGGCAAGTTACAGCCCCATGGTGAGTGCCCCCAGGAGAACACCTTAGTCCCTGTGCCACAGGTGCCAGTGGTGGTACTGGGTGAGGCAAGTCTCTCATGCTGATGGTACAGCAGCTTATACAGAGCATTTATATACTAACAGCACTGCAGCAGGAGCTAGAAATGACTGCTCTTCTGTTTAGGAGAGACATCTGCTTCCAGTCACCTGTACTGGATATGTTTGTTAATACGTGATTTGGTACGGCATTATTTGATGAAACTAGCATTTCAAGTCAGCTCATGAGCTCACATGTAGAAAACTATCCCAAAAATATAGTATGAAGCTTCTGTAGCACAGGAAGGAATTGTATGTTTTACACTCTCTGTGGCCCTAATGATCGAGCAAAGACGATATCATCAACCTGCTATTTCCTCTAATTTTTTTTATAAGCCTTCCTTTCATTTTGTTTGGTGCCAAATTACTTTTTGAGTTCTTGTTTCAAATTGGAGGAAAAAAAATCACAAAAACATTTTTGGTTTAACTAGTCTTTTGCTTTTTTGGCAAAACTGCAGTACCTAAATCTATGTAACAAAGTGGCTCTGAGAGGAAAGACAAGCTTTGTCTTGTATCCTAAGGTTAAAAACCTCCAAGGCAGCAAGAGAAATCATTAATATCTTCAAAATCTTCAAAAGGTGTCCTACCTTCAATTCTGTCCATTCCATAAACTTAGCTGAGGGCTATCTGGAGACAGCATTCCTGCAGAACCAATCAACTGCTTGTCTCTGCTCTCCAAGTACTATGGGCAGCATCACAGGATTTCTTCATGATGTTATCACATTGCTTTAAGGATTGCGGAGTACCTTTTCCTAAGAATAGTCTCATCTTACCAATGCCAATTGCCACACATTGAGACCAACATTTCCTCCTTCAGGAGTATCAGGTCTAGGTAAACAGCACCCGCTTCATTCATCTCGTGAGCTTTCTAGTGGTGAGTGAAAGCAGACATGCAATGAACCTGACAAGCCAGCATACACAGCATTCCTACTCTTTTCTCATGTTCTCAGCAACACTCCCTGCTTTGTCTGCTGCAGCAGCAGGCACAGCCCAGGGAGGGCAGCAACAAGGACCTACAAAATAAGCAACTGAATATGAACTACAGATACAGTCACTCAAGTAAAGATAAACAAAGCAATACCATCCCAGGAGCAGTGCTCAGAAATACATTCAATCTGCTGTATTATACACCAGCCAGTCCTCATTGTTGTGAGACAGGGATACATCTGTTTTTTTCACTTATGTTCCCAAGTCCATTGCTCCTGGAGGGGCAAAGAACATGGACTCACTCCATCTGCTGGACAGTTCCCTTTAAACTCCCTTTCCCGGAGAGGCCGTCAGCACTCCTAAACATAATCATTATCCCAGAATATTCCCTCTAGCTTTGGACAGCTGCTTATCCCCTCTCTATTTCAGGGTATTGAATAGCTGTGAAACTGGGTGAAAGACCCTGATGGTCCTTGTGTAACCCCATGGTATGTCACTCCCAGTACAGAATACCTATTTGTCTACTAGCTCTGCCCTGCAGCAAAGGATATAGATCTGATCTCTCTCTTGAGTGTTGTCTTTGCTCAGTTCTGCCCAAAAGGAATCCTTCGTCCACATCAATGAGAATGGGTTAAACCCGGGACACAGCACCCTGATGTACAGCTGAGCTGCCTGCAACTTCTGTGCTGAAGGGTGAAAGGCAGTTCCAGTGTAGACATCATCTCTGTTAAACTGTTTCTTTCTCATTTAATGGGCTACCACGGAGATCTAAATGGAGATAAAGTGGCAGGGCTCAGAGAACAGCCAGGATGCTATCTTTATGCAGCATGACAATGGGCAGTGGTTAATTAGACACCGTTAACCTATTTTAGCAGAGGACATAACTGGGATGAATGGAGAAAAACGTCCTTGAAATCTTTTAATGTCCACAGCTCCTGAGAGCTCCAGACACGCGTCCTGCACCGTGCCACAGCCAGGCTCCAAGGAGGTCTCTGTGCAGGACCGGAGATTCTCTCGTGCGGCCCGGGGAGGTGTGAGGGCGGGCAGCACAGCTAAGGAAAAGGGAAGGAATTACCGCAGCTTGCTAAAACGCATACGGAGGCGGCGGGACGGGAGCGCCCCATATGGCGCGGCGGAGGAGGAGAAAGAGCTGGGAGCGCGGGCATCCCGCTCGCTCCGCCCGGGCGGGCTGGCATCTGCG